AGCTGGAAGGCCAGAGGAGATGCTATGTTGAGTCCCTGTGTCTGTGACTGTATGGCTCCTTCTCTGAGGCCTCAGTTGCCGTACAGATAGATGGCAGAGGGGTGGCTTGACAGTGCAGTCTCGATCGTGCTCGGCGCTTCATTGTGTCATCTGCTCACTGGAGAAAGGAGGGTCACAATGGTCAGAGGAACATGGGGGCCCAGCTCCAGCCCACCGCAGTGCCCTGGCCAGGAACTTGAGGCCCCCATCCATTCTGGCTGGCCCCTCTTGCAGGCTTCCAGCCCCTCTGGCTGGCCCAACCAAGATGGTCATTCACCTGCCCCTGAGAATCTGCCTCGGTTCCCCACCTGGGAAGCCACTGGTCTCCGTGCTCCGCCCCGACCTGTCCTCTCTGCACCCTGCCTTCCCCATCCCTTGGGGCTGCTGCTTCTCTGGGGCTCTCGTCCTGTGCGCCCACGTCTGTGTCCACCAGTCTTGCCTTGTCCCTCTCCTTTGGTCCCAGCGTCTGTGCTGTCTTCAGTGCTGTGTCTGCAGCTCCTTTCTCCCCTGTCAGGTGACATGGCTCTTGTCGCCTGTTCTCTGCTGGGCTCCAGAGACCCAAGCAAATCACTGTCAGTCCTCGGCCTCGAGGAGTCACGCTGGCCGTTGCGGTACACGCAGGCCTCTGGTGCAGACCCCAGCGTGACGGGTCCTAGTGATGGTGGACCTGTCACTTGGTCTTTGTCACAACCCCAGGGAGGAGTCATGTTAACAGAGAAGTGATGTCAGTGGCCAAGGCCACTGGGCTGGCAGTGCTGGGCAGCCACCTCCCGTCCTCCACTGTGCCCTCCTGCCCACTCCCCTCCTGCCTCTCACTGCACCAGCGAGGCCCGGAGCCTGGGCTGAGGCATGGCGGCCTGGCTCCACCCTGGCACATTTTGTGAGCCTGGGGGAGAGACCCGCCTCCCTCAGCGTCTGCCCCCGTCCATCCGTGCTGGGGTGAGTGTGGGCTGCACTGGGCCAGGTGGAGTCCTGCAGGCCAGGGTGCCATCACAGGCCTGGGAGGCTGACCCCCGGCAGGTTAGCAAGCCAGGAGCTGTTGTGAGGGCAGGACCAAGGCCTGCAGGGAGGGACCAGGGACCCGCCCACCTTCCTGTAGGCGGAGCCTGGTCCCCACCTGCTGGCTGGGCTGGAGCTGACTGTCCCCTGTCCTCAGGAATCCTCGTGGCCCACTACCTCCAGAGCATCACGCCATGCCTGGCCCTGGGTGGAGAGCTGGTCTACCACCGGCGGCCCGGAGAAGAAGGCACCGTCATGTCGCTGGCTGGGAAATACACACGTGAGCCTGGGCTGAGGGCAGGGCAGGGACCTGGCTTCCCAGATGGCGCATCTCCTTGGTGACCACCCCCACTGTCCTCTCTTACAGTTAACAACTGGTTGGCCACAGTGACACTTGGCCAAGCAGGCATGCACGCGACGTACTACCACAAAGCCAGTGACCAGGTGAGCTGGCGGCCCGTGTGGAGGGCGTGCTCACAGGCCGGGGTCTCAGGCTGTGCACCTGGAACCCAGAGGTGGTAGCTCACTCTTGCGCTGTCCACTCCTCCAGCTGCAGGTAGGCGTGGAGTTCGAGGCCAGTACGAGGATGCAGGACACCAGCGTCTCCTTTGGGTACCAGCTGGACCTGCCGAAGGCCAACCTCCTCTTCAAAGGTAAACCCTGTTTCCCTCCGTGGAAAACAGATAAGAGGTGACTCGGCTCGTGGTGGGTGTGGAGGCCAAAGGAGATGAGGGACGGCTGTGTGCCAGGGTTTTGTGGGCCTCCAAAGCACCCAGGGAGGCTTTTTAATAAGTAGGTGCTGGGGCCCCACCCCTGGAACATCTGATGCCCATGTCTGGGCCGAACCCAGAGCATCGTGCTCTCTGCCCACCCCCCGTAAGGAGAAGGCACCCTGGAAATCTTGTGCCCCCCATTCATCCCACATTAGTAGGAATTGAGGCTCTGGGAAGTGGCCTGGTCACCAGGATGACTGTCTCCAGTCCTGATGCCCATGCCTGAGCCGCAGTGTTCCTAGGTTTAAGGTAGGCAGCAGCCACCTGGGGGGTCGGGAACTTGTCCACTGCTGCAGCCTGCCCTCCTGGTGACCCTCTGCTACATGGCCAGCCTGCGTGAGGGGACCTTCTGCAGTGCCAGGTTTGCTTCTGGCACCTTCCTTCTGACCCTTCACAAGGTGCGGTGACAGCTCCATGCAGTGGCCCATCTGCAAGGTCCTGCACAATCCTTAGAAGACATCTCGGTCTTTGGGCAGAGGCGGCCCCTGCTCGGCCCTGTCTGCCGGCCCACAATGGGGAGCACTGCCCGGTCCCTGGAGGAGGATGACCCAGAGTGGACCCACTGGGGTGGGGTCCCAGGGTCCTGGCAAGGGCTTCCCAGAGCAAGGAGCAAGCTGTCTGCTCCCAGGAGTGAAGGGGCTGGGCTGCACGGAGTGGCTTCCAGGTGCAGGTTGCTGTGGTCAGCTGCCTGAGGAGGCCTGGAGTGGCCACATAGGGACGGGATGGGACCTAGCACATCTCTTAGCACAGCTGTTGACCCACAGGCTCCGTGGACAGTAACTGGATCGTGGGCGCCACCCTGGAGAAGAAGCTGCCACCCCTGCCTCTGACGCTGGCCCTCGGGGCCTTCCTGAACCACCGCAAGAACAAGTTCCAGTGCGGCTTCGGCCTCACCATCGGCTGAGTCCACTCCGGCCTCCACGCCCTTCCTCCTCCTCCACCTCCCCGGAGGGAGACCTGAGCCCCTCCCCCTCCTCTCCCTCCCTCCTCCAGGGTCGGGGGGCAGCGGAAAGGAGGGGACCCGCCACCCCAGCAGCTGAGGAGGGGGTGCTGGATCCAAGGGGGCGCTTCGGGACTCTGAGCGCCGGGGCCGGGTGAGCCCAGTGGGCCTGGGGTCCCAGGGGGGATTCCGGAATCCGGGCGCTGGATTCTGAGCACCAGGGCAGAAGTGGCCAGACAACCTCAGGGAGGAGTGTCATGGCGTCCCCATCCTTCACAGAGGGCCCCGCCGAGCCCGCCCAAGGGGCAGCAAGAGGAGCTCCCCGCCCCGTCAGCCCACCCTGCCCACTTTCCCTTCTACCCCTCAGTATAAATCATGTTTATAAGTTATAGAAGAACCGGGACATTTTACAGAAAAAAATGAAAAAAAAAAAAAAAAAACAACAATATACATGGGGGGAAAGCAGTTGAGGTGAGGTGCCTCCGTTTTCTGTGGTTCTTCCCGCGGTGGCCAGCAGGGGGCGCGGGGGTCCGGGGCACAGGACAGCCTGGCGCTCTGCTAGGGAAGAGCCTGGCCAGGACCACAGCACCCCGTGGCCTGTGCCCCACAGGGACAGCACAGCCTTCCTTTGCAAGAGGGCGGGGTCTCCAGGTCAGTGGCCCCATGGGGCCTGGCCAGTGGCCACACAGGACTTTGTTCCTGCAGACTGAAGCAACAGGGATGACTGGGGCTGGGGGCAGGGTCTCCGGACTCCAGGATCTTCCCAGATGACACAGGAAGAGGGTGGTAGGGCTTCTCAGGACCTTCACAGCTTTCATTAACGTCATGGAGGATCCAGGCTGCTGGGAGGGCATCAGGACTGTTAAGAAAGGAAGAGCCACCTGAGGGGAGGAGAGCAGCCAGGGGTTGGGACAGGGAGTGGGATGGGTCGCCTGTATCTGAGGGATTGTTGGGCTTTTTCTTTTGATGTGGGATCTCCCCGTCTCCCAGCCAGTTGTCTGAAGTTCTGTGCCCAAGTGACCCCTGTGCTCAGCAGGAGGCGTCGGAGTTGGCCAGGCTGGAGCTCACAGACTACTGACTCCCCCAGACAGGAACTGAAACCCTGCCCCCCCCCCCCCCCAGGATTGGCGGGGTGCTGCTGGGTACAGATGACCCCTAGTTACCCTCAGAAGCCACCTCCCCGCCTCTGCCAGCCATCTGTAAGTCCAAAGCAAACAGTCCTGGGCCTGACCAGGCATGAGGGCTCCCTCCTCAGGTGCTCAGCCTCCTACCACAGGATCCAGGGCTCCCAGCCCCTTGAGGAGACTGTCCCCAGTACCTGCCACCTAGTTAATCACCTGGCCTTATTGCCAAGCCACGTCTGACACTGCAGCTCTTAAGACCACCCCACCCCCATGCTGGCATCGAATCCGGGTGCTCTACCACTGAGCCACGTCCCCAGCCCGTTTCATTTTGAGTGGGTCTCACCAAGTTGCCCAGCCTGGCCGCAAACTTGCAATCCTCCGCCTCGCCTCCCGAGGCCTGGGATTGGACGTGTGCGCTGCGCCAGCTGCTTTCCCACTTTTTTGTTTTGTTTTTAACATTTTTTTAGTTGTAGTTGGACACAATACCTTTATTTTTATTTGTTTTTAATTTTATGTGGTGCTGAGGATCGAGCCCAGCGCCTCACACTTGCTAGGTGAGCGCTCTACTGCTGAGTCACAACCCCAGCCCCCCCCACACACTTTTTTTTAAAAAATATTTTTAAGTTGTCAATGGACCTTTATTTATTTGTATGTGGTGCTGAGAACAGAACCCAGGGCCTCCCACGTGCTAGGCAAGTGCTCTACCACCCAGCCCCAGCCCCAGCCCATGCTTTCCCACTTTTATAGTAAAGAGGCTGCTCAGAGGTGGGTCGTTTGCCCAAGATCACAAGCTGGCAGTGGGCAGGTCTGGAGTCCAAACCTAACGGCACTTTTTGCTTCCAGCGTATGAAGAGCACCCTGCCTGTCCCAGCCAGCGGCTGCTGGGTTCCCGTTTCACAAGTGGAGGAAAGAGCTCTAAGAGGTGGTCACCTGCACCCGGGGTCACACTCAAGAGAGGGAGCAAGGGCCAGGTGCGGTGGCGCACGTCTGTAATCCCAGCGCCTCGGAAGGCTGAGACAGGAGGACTGTGAATTTGAAGCAGGTCTTAGCAACAAGGAGGCGCTAAGCAGCTCAGTGAGACCCTGTCTCTAAATAAAAAGTACAAAATAGGGCTGGGGATGTGGCTCCGCAGCCGAGTGCCCCTGAGTTCGATCTCCGCCCTGCCTCCTCCCCCAAAAAAAGATGGAGCAAGGGTTAAAACCAAGTTTCACTCAAGTGCTCATGCCCATAAGGTCCCCGGCACCCCATAATAGAGGAGGACGCCTGGATTACTGAATGAGGAGTCGTCTCCCTTCCTGGGGGCTGGGGGTGGGAAGTGGTCCAAGGCCTCCACGCCCCACCTCCTTGGCCCTGTTGTGTGTGAGGAGGGAGAGGACAGCCTGCCTCGTGACAGGGGGCTGGCCGAGCCCGCCCTAGCCCTGGGGTAGGGGGCGGGGCAGGGGAGCCCTATAATTGGAGGAGTCTGGGCTCACAGAGCCCTGCTCAGCTCCTGCGGACTCAAAGGACCCGGTACCCCAGGAACCGGTGAGATGTGCAGCCAGAGGGTGCAGGGACCAGCAGAGGGGTCTTGGGATGATGTGGACACCTCAAAACCCCCTGACCTCTAGGGAAAGTCAGGGGCTAGGAGGAAAGGGCAGGAAGCTCAGAGAGCCATTTGGGAGACAAGATGGGGGAGAAGCAGTGACCGGCCTCTGCCTGGATCAGTCCAGACACAGGACCAGGGGAGTGGACCTTGAAAAGCCAGCGGTAGGGCCTCCCACCCTATCTAGAAGGTGGAGGGTGGGGGGCAGCATTTGGGGCAGCTGGAAAAACCCAGAGATGAATCCTAGCCAAATCCCACTGTCATTTATTGAGCACCTACTGGATGCCCCCATTTGTCTTCAGGTCTCCATAATCCAGGATGCAGGGGTGGCTAGACCAGATTGAAAGAAGGACTTTTCTATGAGGGTTAAATTAGCATGTAGGTTGAAATCAGCGCTTAGACGCGACTTTGGAGCATAGAATGTGAAGGTGGACGGAGGAACGCAGAGCTGGACCTTAGAGAGCCCGGCTGGGTGGGGGCTCAGTGGAATCTGAACCCTGGAGAGGGAGATGGAATTTTGGCAGTGAATGGAGAGATAGGAGAAGACAAAGAGGGAGTTAAATAGCTGAGTTGGGGGGAGCAGCCTGGTGAATGTTTATGATTGGATTAGGTTATCTCAGATCTTGGGGTGGGGAGGCTTTGAAGGTGGGGCCAGGCTGGGGGGAGGAGTCCCCACAGGGCTGTTGATTCAGTCTCTCCCCTCCCCAGACTGACCATCAGGCAGAAAGATGAAGGTTCTGTGGGCCGTGTTGGTGACCACGCTCCTGGCAGGTATGGAAGCAGGGCCTGCCTGCCTGGTGACCTGCATGTCCCTCTTCTACCCCTTGGCCTCATTCAAGTCCTCAACCCCCTCTTCTGTGACCCATCCTCCTTGAGAGTGAGGCCCAGGTCTGAGGCCTCCCTGACCTTCACTGGCCCTGAGCAGCTGCTGTCCGCTCTCTGGCCTGTTTTCCCATCTATAAAATGGGCACAAGCAATGTCGTGCTGCCGTGCTCTCAGGTAGGTAGTGAGTACCGGCCAAGAGTCGGCTGTGACCCTCCTCATTCTCCCTCGCCCCTGTGCAGCCCGACATAGGGCCCACAAAGGCACGAAGGACGTGGACAGTGATTAATCAGACCACCCCCTCCCTGCCCGCCTGGGCTCCAAGGAGGCCCTGAGCACTGTGTAGCGCCTGCTCTGTGTGAGGGAGCGTGCCTGACCCTGATGGCCCCGAACTTGCCCTACACAGGATGCCTGGCGGAGCTGGAACTGGAGCCAGAGGTACAGGAGCAGACCAATTGGCAGATTGGCCAGACCCGCCAGCCCTGGGAGCTGGCACTGGGCCGCTTCTGGGATTACCTGCACTGGGTGCAGACGCTCTCTGACCAGGTGCAGGAGGAGCTGCTCAGCTCCCAGGTCACCCAGGAACTGGCGTGAGTGTCCCCACCCCCCGGCCTTTGACCCTGTTGCTGCCTCTGGATCCTCTGAACCTCCAAGGACTTGGGTTCTTTTCTGTCCCTGGGTCTCTGCCTCTTTCTTGCTGTCCTTTAAACTCCTGGCTTTCCTCTCTGCTTCCCCAGCTCTCTGTCCCTGCCCATCCTCCAGGCTCACAGGCTGGTGCTCTCTGCCTCTGTCCCACATCCCCATCCCCTTTACTTATTTATTTATATTTTTTAGTTGTATATGGACAGAATACCTTTATTTTATTCATTTATTTTTATGTGGTGCTGAGGATCAAACCCAGTGCCTCACACATGCCAGGCAAGCGCTCTACCACTGAGCCACGATCCCAGTCCCCGCTCCTCCCTTTTTACTTTTTATTTTGAGACACTATCTCACTAAGTTGTTTAGGACCTTGCTCAATTGCTGAGGCTGGCCTCCCACTTGGGATCCTCCTGCCTCTGCCTCCCAAGTTGCTGGTGTTACAGGCATGTGCCGCCACGCCTGGCCCCTGGTCCTTCTGTCGTCTCGATCTCTCTGCATCTGTCTCAGTCTCCTCTGGGCCTCTTCCCCTTCCTCCTCTTCCCCTTCGGGTCCCCCATCTGTCTCAGTCCTCGTCTTGCCAGCGTCCGCCCTCTTGGCCCGCAGGGTGCTAATAGAGGACACGATGAAGGAGGTGAAGGCCTACAAGTCGGAGCTGGAGGAGCAGCTGCGCCCGATGGCCGAGGAGACGCAGGCCCGGCTCTCCAAGGAGCTGCAGGCGGCGCAGGCGCGGCTCGGGGCGGACATGCAGGACGTGCGCAACCGCCTGGAGCAGTACCGCAGCGAGGTGCGGGCCATGGTGGGCCAGAGCACCGAGGAGCTGCGGGCGCGCCTGGCCTCGCACCTGCGCAAGCTGCGCAAGCGGCTGCAGCGCGACGCCGAGGACCTGCAGAAGCGCCTGGCCGTGTACCAGGCCGGGGCCCGCGAGGGCGCCGAGCGCGGCGTGAGCGCCATCCGAGAGCGCCTGGGGCCGCTGGTGGAGCAGGGCCGCCTGCGGGCAGCCACCGTGAGCAGCCTGGCCAGCCAGCCGCTGCGGGAGCGCGCCCAGGCCTGGGGCGAGCGGCTGCGCGGGCGGCTGGAGGAGGTGGGCAGCCGCGCGCGCGACCGCCTGGACGAGGTGCGCGAGCAGGTGGAGGAGGTGCGCGCCAAGGTGGAGGAGCAGACGGCGCAGATGCGCCTGCAGGCCGAGGCCTTCCAGGCCCGCCTCAAGAGCTGGTTCGAACCCCTGGTGGAAGACATGCAGCGCCAGTGGGCCGGCCTGGTGGAGAAGATGCAGAAGGCCATGGGCGCCAGCACGGCCCCCGCGCCCAGCGACAACCACTGAGCGCCGGCCCCACTGCCCGGCCCCACTCCACCCTGCTCTGCCTCCCTTCGGCAGCAGGACCCTGTCCCCACCACAGCTGGCCTCCCCGCGGCCTCTGCTTAATAAAGATGTACCCGAGCTTCTCAGCACCAACCCGGCCTCCCTGTGTGATTCCTAACCGCTCCAGCCTCAGTCTGCCCTTCCTTCCGCACCCGGCCACACTGTTCCCAGTACTGTCACCTTTTCTGCCTGTGGTGGGCGTGTGTGTATCGGTGTCTTTCCTTTGTTGGTCTTGGTACTGTGGATTGAACCCAGCCCTTTTTAAATAAATTTTTATTATTTATATTTTATATTTTATATAAATATATAAGCAACTTTATATATATATAAACTCCCTGAGTTGCTTGGGGACTGACTAAACTGCTGAGGATGGCTGTGCACTCAGGATCCTCCTGCCTCAGCCTCCTGAGCTGCTGGGATTACAGGCGTTTGCTGCCAGGCCTGCCTTTTGTTGACAGCACTGGAATGGACCCAGGGACACTTACTACTGAGCCACATTCCTGGCCTTTTTTTCTTTCTTTCTTTCTTTCTTTTTTTTTTTTTTAATATTTTTAAAGTTGTGGTTGTGGTTGGGCACAATACCTTTTTTTTTTTTTAATTTTTAGGTGGATACAATGTATTTTATGTGGTGCTGAAGATGGAACCCAGCGCCTCCTAAGTGCTAGGCGAGCGCCCCACTGCTGAGCCACACCCCCAGCCCACTCCTCCCCAGCCCTTTACATTTTGAGACAGGGTCTGGCTAAGTTGCAGAGGCTGGCCCAAATTTGCAATGCTCCTGCCTCAGCCTCCTGAGTCACTGGGATACCAGGCGTGCTGCCCGGCTGGGCTCAGCTCCTCATGTTCATAACACCTGTTTCAGAGAGGCTGCCACCAGAGCCCGAGGGGCCTGTGGACTTGGTTGGCTGTGCTGCTTCGCCTTTCTCTGCTCCTTCCCTCCTTGGTCTCTGACCTGCTCTTCCTTCAAGGCCCATCTTCTGGTTTTCTGTTTCCCTGGACCTCTGTTATCTCTCCCTCCTACAGTGGGTTGCTCTTGCTCTTTCCCGGGGCCTTATTATTGCTTTTCCCCCCTCCCACCTTCCCCTCCATCATGTTTCCTCTGAGCCGCAGCCTCCCTCCCAGCCCCAGTTAGCCTGCTGCCTGGCCTTTGCCCTCTCTGGCCTGAGCGTCCGCGCGGCTCTCCATTCTCCTCTCCCCAGCTGTGCTGCCCAGCTTTTGTTTTTCCCAGAAAGCCTATGGGGTGCAGAGTTCAGGCTGGGGAGATGAGAGGCACCTACCAGGCACCCTGTAGGAGTCTGCACAGGCCCTGAGCAGAGCTGGGAGCCGGCCCGCAGAGGCGAGGGTGGAAGGATTCTGGAGGGGCTGGCTGCCTTCCCCTCCCACCCCCTCAGTTCTCAGAGAAAGAGCAGGGTTCCCACCAACTGGGGCAGGCCAGGGCTTGAGCTGTGTCTCCAGGGTTTGGCCTGTGCCTCCCCAGTCCCCTGCTGGCCTTGGCACACCCTGAGCTCAGCTTTCCCTGGCACAGCTTTGAGCACCCATGTGCAGGCAGGCTCCCCCTCCTGGAGGTGACTCACCCAGCCAGTGAGGAGGGGAAGGGTCACTGGGCTCAGAGACCAGGGCCTAGTTGGCTGGGGGCATGCCTGTTCGGAGCCTCAGTTTCCCTGGTGAAGTGACAGATGCCACCTCCACTTAAGAACTGAATCCTGAGCCGGGTGCAGTGTCATACACCTGCAATCTCAGCAGCTCAGGAGGCTGAGGTAGGAGGATCGCGAGTTCAAAGCCAGCCTCAACCAAGCGAGGTGCTAAGCAACTCAGTAAGACCCTGTCTCTAAATAAAATATAAAATAGGGCTGGGAATGTGGCTCAGTGGCACAGTGCCTCTGAGTTCAATCCCTGGTACCCCCTCCCCACCAAAAAAAAAAAACAACAAAAACTGAATTCTGAATTCTATGCCTGAATCTCAACAACTTGAGAAGCTGAGGCAGGGGCATTTCGAGTTCGAGACCAGCCTCAACAAATTAGCGAGGCTCTCAGCAACACAGTGAGACCCTGTCTCAAAATAAAAAACAATAAGGTCTGGGAATGTGGCTCAGTGGTAAAGCACCCCTGGATTCAATCTCTAGCACCAAAAAAAAAAAAAAAAAAGAAAAGAAAAAAAATCCTTACTATTGAATTCTCACCAGTGGAGACATCTAAACAGAGGGTACCCGACTTCACCACAGCCGTGGCCAGACCCAGGAGGAACAGGAACTGAGGAGTGGGGATCAAAGACTAAGAGGGTGCTGTGGCCAGTGGCTGACCCCAGCAGGGATCTAGAGAGCCCTCCCAGAGTCCAAGAATGGAGTGGGGGACAAAGCCCTCTCATTCCTCACTAAGGTTTTGAATTGAGTGCTTGCCCCTCCCTCAGTTTCCCCACCTGTCAAAACCAGAAACCCCTGCAGCGGAGGAGGAGACGAGGAGGAAATAGCAAAGGCGCTGCTGCTCCATTCCCAGAGAGAGGCAGACATCCGGGTGGCTGTCTGTGGAGCAGCAGGAGGGTCCGGCCAGAGGCCAGCACACAGGGACGGGAAGCTGAGTCGCCCGGGGGTGTTGCAATCCTGCCAGGGTCGCATTGGTGCCATGCCTTTCACAACCAGCCCCCCACCCCCAGAGCAGACACGTGGTTGTGGGGGCACAGGGCCAGCCAACCTAGCGTCTGGGGACGGCCACCCTCCCCACCAGCTGCCAGGGATCACTGGCGGTCAAAGGCAGCCCATGGGGAAGGGGGGGAGGCCTTGGAACGCAGCCCTGGAGAAAGGATGTGAAACAGGGGAGGGAGTGGAGGGGCAGGCTTGGAGCCAGGAGGGGCTTGGGGATGCAAAGCCAGGAGGGGCTGGGGGACAAGTGATGGGGTCGCACAGTGGGGGCTCCACAGCTTCGGTTTTGCAGTTTAGAGAGGCCGAGGAGGCAGATGTGGAGGTGCACACCCGAGATCTTACAGACTCCAGAGACTGGAGCAAGAGGATCACAAGTTCAAGGCCAGCCCCCGGCTATTTAGCAAGACCCTATCTCAAAATTTAAAAAAGACTGGGGATGCCGCTCAGCAGTTAAGCACCTCTGGGTTTAATCCCCAGTGCCAATACCTAAATAAATAGGCAGAAGAGTCATGTACCCCTAAGAGGAAAGAGATTAGGAACTGAAGTTTGGACCCCAGAGATCAATCACCCAGGGACACAGAGGACACTCCCAGGTGCACGGGGCGGGCAGCTGCGGGGCCAATGTCAGAAGAGGGCTGGGGGTGGCAGCGGGGTAGGAGCCAGGCACAGAGGGAGTGTCTGAGCTGGGGAAGTTTGCAGAGGGGGCAGGGCAGGTGGAGGAGGTGGGCTGGGGACACAGCAGGCACCTGGGATGAACCTGAGCCGCACAGAATTTTTCCTGAGACTCCTGAGGGGAGAGGGCAGCAGGGAGGGGGTGAAGCTGTGCCCCGAGGGCAGGAGGGGGGCCACCGCGGGCTGAGGGTGCGCCCCACTCCTAGGTCAGGAGGTTTGGAGGGAGGGTGCTTAAAAGTGATGGGCCTTGGCCCTAAGGGACAAGTCCCGGCCAAACTAATAGCCCTCCGACTCCCACCAGCCAGCTAAGCACAAAAGGGAGAAAAGTGGGTGGGCACAGCGGTGGGGCGGGGCCAGGAGGGCGGGGCTTAACGTGCCCCGCCCCGCCCCAGCCTGATAAAAGCCCGCGGGTTGGGGACCTCCTACCCTAGCTGGTCTGGGACTGTCCTAGCCCAGGTTGGTCCCAGGAGGGAGACACAAGAGCTGGGTAGGGGTGGAGAACCACGGTGGGGAGGGAAGTGAGGCCACTAATGTCGCCACCCGCCTCCGCCTCCAGGTGCCCCTCGCTGCCATGAGGCCCTTCCTGGCGCTGTCGGTTCTGGTGGTGGTCCTGTCCGTGGTTCTGGAAGGTAAAAGTGGGCTAGGGGAATTGGGGGATTGGAGGTTTGGGACTAGGATGCTGGCCACAGCCTCGGGGTCCAGCATAGGGAGTCCTTGAAAGCTCTGGGACCCTTCTGTGCCCTGGTTCCCCTGCAGTCCTCTGGTCACCCACCCCTAGCACGCTAGGAGGGTCTCAAGGTTCTCTAAAGGTCTGTCCAGTGTGGCAAGGCTGCCCAGGGAGCCTCAGCGACGGGTGACTTATGGGCCCCTCTGGGACTGGCTATCCCGCATCTTCCCCCTTGCAAGGGACAGGAAGGTAAGGGCCACTCCAGTGCCCGCCCCCATTCTAACTCCAGGATCCCCAAGGATGACTTTCAGGGACCTCCATATCCATCCCTGGAACCCCATCCTAGGGATTCTGCCTAATCACTGACATGTTTTCACCTCTCCCTCGCTTGGGGGAGCAGGCCCAGCCCCAGCCCAGGCCGCCCCAGACGTCTCCAGCACCTTTGAGCAAATCCCGGGCAAGCTGAAGGAGTTTGGAAACACCCTGGAGGACAAGACCCGAGAAGCCATCAACCACATCAAAAACAGTGACTTTGCTACCAAGACGCGGTTAGGGCCCTTCCCAGGGGGCCGTAAAGGGACCTGTGGGAGAAGCCCTGAAGGGCAGTCCAAGAGTAGCAGATTGGGGACACTGAGGCCCTAAGAGGCTTACCATATCCCTGTGGTCACCCAGCTAGATCTCAGGTGCTAAGATTCACGGGAAGGTGCCCTGCCTCCCATCCTGGACACATTTTAGAGATGGGCCTGGGGGGTCACAAAGGACCCCAAGCAGGACAGTCCACAGGCTGGTGTAGACACCCTTCTTCCTGAGGGATCCCAGGAGAGGGGCGTGACAGCTGCCTGAGACCCCTCATCTCTAAAAGGGGTAGTTCTGAGGGAGTAAAAGAGAGGGCCCTGAGTGGCACCTGGCACGTGATCAAGGCTGATGCACTAATTAACCAACTTTTGTGCCCTTGGGCAAGTAGAGAATCCTCCATTTGTTAAGAGGTGTTTATTGAGCATCTGCTAAATGTAAGGAAGCCATCAACGTGGGGAAGTACACAGAGGTGACAAGTGGGGGAGACAGATGATAAACTGGTGAATCCCAACTAGTCTGCATGAGGTTAAGCACTGTGAAGACCCTAAAGAGGACAGGGTGACAACCAAGGAAGGGAGAGCAGCTCTTTGAAATTGGTGGCTAGGTCTTCTCCGAGGAGGTGACATATTCAATTGAGATCTGAATGACGAGGAAAACTCAGCTGAACCAAAATTTAGGAAGGATGTTCTCTGTGAAGGGAAAGTACAAAGGCCCTGGGGTAGGAAGACCTGTCAATAAATAAGGAGAGGACTTCCAAGCAAGGGGGACAGTTCAGGAAAGGCCAGAGGCTGGATGGAGGGACAGCTAGGGCAGGAGCAGACTTGGTGACAGTGTTGGGAGCAAGAGACGGCAGGCCTGGAGCCAGGCCAGGTAAAGTGCTGTGACTTCCAAGGGCTCTGGTCTACCTGGGGAAACTGAGGCACAAACAAGTTGACTCCCCCAGCCCAGGTGTCTTCCTAATGCCTCAGACAATGGGGATGGGGACTCAGGAAGGGGAAGATCAGGGAGTCATGGATAGAGTGGAACTGGGACCTCCTGGGGGGACTCCCGCAGTGACTCCTTCCCCCATTTCCCCCTCAGGACCTGGTTTTCTGAGACATTCACCAAAGTGAAGGAGAAGCTCAAAGACACCTTCTCCTGAACTCCTCAGGATGGAGCCTAGGCCAAGAGGGCGTCCATGAAGCCCCAGGCCATCATCCCACCTAATAAAAATCCTACAAGAATTCTCCCTGAGTGCGTCTTCACTGTGGGTCCTGAGGGGCTGCAGGACAGGGTCAGGTGGCGCCCTAAGGACTGCTGGAGGGGACTCCAAAGTATGGAGGTGCCTCGACTTGGCCTGTGCTCAGGAGGTTTTAGCTTTATGATCCCCATAAATTAGATTTATGAACTGTTGCTCCCAAAAAGGACACTGAGGCCCAGAGATGTGAAGTCCTTGGTCAAAGATCACATAGGCGGGCAGCAGAAGGCGGAGTGGAGCCTCACCCTCCACTTTCCCTGGGCTCCTTTCCTGGTTTGGGCTGCTCAGGACAAGAGGCTGGGTTTGATTTATCACGGGGCATAGTAGCTGCTCATTAAACTTCAAATGCAGAGAAAAGGGAGACGCAGAGGAAGGCAGGGGTGGGACGTGCTGAGTGCTGAGAGCCACAGCATTTTTGCCAGAATGGAGTGGTTGAGAGGTGACTGCCAGCGAGCCATTGAGATGATGATGGTTATGTTAAGCTGTGTATTCAATTGTATATTAGACCCCTGCGGTCTGCCTCAAGCCGAGCCCTACTTTGGAGTTCTCCCGGGGATTCCTGGAGAGTTCCCGTTGGTTGGGGAAGTGCCAGAGGGGGGATTTCCAGTTAGTGGTGTTTGCTGGAAGGGCCTCATGGGTGTGGGTGATGTTGTGGGGGGGAGTTCGGGCAATAAAGGAGTTCCTGTTTTGAACCTACAAGTGCCTCGTGCTGGCTCCATTATTCAGCCTGCAGGTCTCCATGTCCCCTCCTCCAGGAAGCCCTGCCTGACCCTAGGCTGGATCAGCGCCTTGCTCCCAGCCCTGCCCACTCTGGGTCATCACTGCCTGGGGACCAGACTGTGAGCCCCAGAGGGCAGAGGCAGGACTGTTGTCCCCACAGTGTCTCCAGGCATTGCCCAGCATGGAGCCAGTCCCGGTATGGGGGCTCATGGGGGCTCAGAATATTAGGTAAAATAATGAAGCTGAACTTGGATAGAAGTCTGTCTTTTCCCCGTGTTTTTTATCGGCGTATCAGCGTTATACATAACGGTGAGATTTCCTGTTGTTTTCTTTTACCGGGGTTGAACCCAGGGGCACTCTAGCACTGAGCTACACCCCAGAGCCTTTTCTTTCATTTTTCCTCTTGACACAGGGTCTCTCTAAGTTACCCAGGCTGGCCTTGAACTTGATCCTCCTGCACCAGCTTCCTGAGTTGCTGGGATTGCACCACACCAGGCTAAAAGTCCATCTTTTTTTTTTTTTTTTAATTTTTATTAGTTATCGATGGACTTTTATTTTATTCATTCATTTTATGTGGTGCTGAGAATCGAACCCAGTGCCTCACACATGCCAGGCCAGAAATCTACCCCTGAGCCCCAGCCCTAACACGTTGAATTCCTACAAACCCCTGTCACATAGAGGCTGCCAAGGCTCCACTTACTTTCATTCATCTTATGGTGCTGGGGATGGAACCCAGGATGGAACCCAGAGCCCGTGCCTGCTAGGCAGGCCTCTGTCACTGAGCCCCAGCCCCAGCCCTTCCCTCCGCTCCTCTGCCTCCGCTTCCCGCTTACTGATCTCTAATGTGTGATGTCTACTTCATCATTTGCCTGGTTACTCGCTGGCTCCAGTTAATAGGATGCCAAACCCATGCCACCTGTCTTTTCTTCTTTTTGAGGTCCCAGGGCCTTGTACATGCCAGGCCAGTGCTCTAGTGCCAGGCTACAGCACCCCCCCTTTTTTTTTTTTTGGTACTTGAGATTGAACTCAGGGGCACTCGACCACTGAGCCACACCCTCAGCCCTATTTTGTGTTTAATTTAGAGACAGGATCTCGCTGAGTTGCTTAGCAACTCAAAGTTGCTGACACTGGCTTTGAACTCAGGATCCTCCTGTCTCAGCCTCTCAAGCCTCTGGGACTATGGGCATGTGCCACCGCACCTGGCATCCCCAGCCCTTTTTACTTTTCATTTTGAGACAGAGTTTTGCTAAATTGCTTTGGGTCTCACTGAGTTGCTGAGGTTGACCACCATCTTGTCATCTTCCTGCCTCAGCCTTTTGAGTCTCTAGGATTCCAGACGAGTGCCACCACCCCTGGCTCATGGAAACTGTCCTGCTCCTGCGGTGCCTCAGTTCCTAGAACAGTGCCTGACACACAGTAGGTGCTCAATAAACACTGTGGCCAGGTGGAATCGTCACTCAGTGGTACAGCTCTTGCCCAGGATGTGTGAGGTCCTGGGTTCCAGCCCCGGCACCTCCAACAAAACCAAATGACAACTCTCCAAAGCCACGGAGATCACCGGCTTTCCACTGAGGGCAGACGGGCAGACAGGCAGACGGGCAGACGCTCAGGTACAGGCATCATCCACTCCTGAATTCCGAGTTTGCGATTTCCCTTCTCTGTTTCTTACATCAGAGGCAGTGCACGTGTTCTTCAGGATCTTGACAGCATAGAGCCCTGGTCACACCAAGGAGACACCCAGAGTCCCAGGCCCATATGTGGAGTCCACACTTGCAGGGCAGCCAGGGCAGGGAAAGGGTTCCATGCTGGGCACCTGGCCCAGCCCCTGGAGCCGACAGGGATTCCTGGGGGAGGGGATGTGAAACCCTGCTGATTCAGAATTAGCCCAAGAGAATCAGGGCCAGGCGCAGGGGTGCACCCCTGTAACCCCAGCACTTGGGCCAGGGCTCAGGTGGGAGGATCACCCTGTATCAAAATAAGGTAAAAATAAATAAAAACAATTAAAAAATGGGGGACATGGCTCCATGCTGAAATGCCCCTGAGTCCAATCCTCAGCACCAGAAGGAAAACAAAACAAAAACGAGTAGAGGCCCTGAATGAGGCTCCCAGTGAGACTGTTCAGCAGTTCCTTAAAAAGCTAAAGGACAGACCGGGCGGCCTGGTGGCACATACCTGCTGTCACAGCAGCTTGGGGGGCTGAAGCTGGAGGATCACCAACTTCAAAGCCAGCCTGGGCAACTCAGCCAGGCCCTGTCACAAAGCAGAAAGTAAATGGGGGGCGGGGGACTGGGGCTGGGGCTGGGACTGAGTGGTAGAACGCTCACCTAGCACAGGGGGCCCTGGGTTCGATCCTCAGCACCTATAAAAATAAACTAATAAAATGAAGACATTGTGTCCAACTGCAACTAAAAATAGATGTTTTTGTTGTTGTTGTTGTTGTTTGTTTTTAAAGTAAATGTGCTTGGGATGTAGCTCAGTGGACCAGGGGATGTCACCCAGCGCCCCTGGTTCAATCCCCAATACAGAGAGAGAGAGAGAGAGAGAGAGAGAGAGAAAGAGAGAGAACGGTAGTTAGACAAAGAAGCCAGACACAGAAGCCATCATTCCTCTCCATTCCTGTGAAACATCTGGACAGGTGAATGGCTGGGGCGGAAGGTAGGTAGAGCCGGGTCGGGGAGAAAGGAAGGGGGACCACCGCGAGGCTTACAAGTCTCCTTTTGGGATGATGAAAGAATGTTCTGGAATTGGTGGTAATGGTTGTGCAAATTGTACTAAAACCTTATTTATTCATTTGTCTGCCTGGGCAGTGCTGGGGAGGGACCCAGGGCACAGGCCTGCTGGGCAACCGCGGTGCCCTGGGCTCCATCTGTGACTGCTGTTTACCGGTGAGGGGTCCTTGCTTCCCCAATGCTGAAGGATAACACCAGAGAAGCAGGCCGAGGCGAGAGGAGAGTGGACCGTGGAGGCTTCATTAAAGGACAGCGGAAAAGGCTTCTCCCCAGGAAGAAGGGGACCCGAAAGGTGGAATCCGTGGAAGGGCGGGCAAGGTCTGCCCTTTTTATGGCTGAGGTCGTCTCTTAGTGTCCCACACTCCTGTCCTTGGTCTCCCTCTGTCCTGCTGTCATAGAACGCAGGCGGGAAGGCCAGAAGGTGGGAGAAGGGGGACTGAGGGGCAGGGAGGAGTGATCAGGCAGGAAGGGCCTGGGGGTTCTGATTAGCACCTCACTATTTGCTGGGAGCTGCTTCATTAACAGTTCCTTAGGTCAGGCTGGGGCCTTGGGGACATTAGCATTTCAATTTCCCCAGGTGTGGTTCTGGTTGCCTGGACTCTATTCTCCTAATGGCCTCCAATTTCTTCATCTCACTCACCTTAGACCCGATTTCCCTAACTACACTAACTACCTGTCTTCAAATCTGGCTTCACATCTTTGACCCTTCAGGCTTCCTTTAGAGACGGGCCTCCCTGGGTCCCCAGGCTGGCTTTGCACGGACCCTCTGCCTGCTCAGCCTCCCCTCCCCGCTGAGCCCCAGCCCAGCCCCTTAAAGGGTGAAGTTGATGGAGTGGGAATGACGTCTCAGTTTCCATCAGGAACGAGTGGATGAGTGGATGGCGACTTCCCAGAGAGAAGGCAGAGACGGGACATCTCATACCCCTTTCTACCCAGATTCCCTCCCCAGACAGCGCAGGCAGCAGGGTGAAGGGTCTGAGAGGCCCGAAGATGAGCCAGAGGGTGCCTAGGGATTGGGGGAGGGGAGGGGTCTTGACTGGGGCGAGGACCCTGTGGTCAAGGGGAGAGGAGAGTGACTGGGGGCAACGTGGCCAGGCCTGGTGTCGTGGAGAGCACAGTCGCAGGTCCAGAGATGCTGTCTGCCCCCAGACGTGTCCCGTGTCCCAGGCCTCAGGGTCCCTGGCCACCCATCCTAGTCCCCCGTGCTGTGCTGAGGGCTCTGCTCGCCTCCCCCTCCCCAGCCCCCACAGGTGTTTTTCAGTTGCCTCTGAAGTCCACAGTGAATGACCTTCGGCCTGACCCCGTCACTAAGATGAGCAAACATTGCAGGCAGCAAACAACAAACAGCCCACAGCCCTCCCTGCACACCAGCCTTGGAGCTGGGGCAGGGGACAGAGACTCCCCCACACTCTCTGTCTCCAGGTGGCAGGGGCGGAGGAAATCCCTGCTTAGCCGGATGATGGAGAGCCAGGCCCCGTGCAGATGGACACCCACACCCGCAGCCTCGGTTTCCTCATCTGTAAAAAGGGGATTCCGGGCCTGTGATCTCAGTGGCTCAGGAGGTTGAGGAGGAGGATCTTGATTTCCAGGCCAGCCTCAGCCACTTAGCAAGATGCTGTCTCAAAATAAAAACTAAAAGGGGCTTGATGTGGCTCAGCCTGGAAGCACCCCTGGGCTCAATCCCCAGTACTAGCCCTCAAAAAGGGGGGGATATCAAGAATGCCACCTCCTGGCTGGAGATGTGGCTCAAGCGGTAGCGCACTCTCCTGGCATGCGTGCGGCCCGGGTTCGATCCTCAGCACCACATACAAAGATGTTATGTCCGCCGAGAACTAAAAAAGAAATAAATATTAAAATCTCTCTCTTAAAAAAAGAAAAAAGAATGCCACCTCCTAGGGCCCTGGTGACCTCTGCCCCTGTGACCACGCTCTGCCTGTTGCACAGCAAGTGCTAAGGACACATATTCTAAATAGAGAGCAGCAGATGATGACCAAGCACCTCCCCTGGGCACTCCATGTGCTCGATCTCCTGATTTCTTTTATGCTCCTGCTCCTGGGTGAGCCTGTGAGGTCACAGCCTTTGACTCCCAGGCAAGGACGGTGGGGACAGGAGAAAAGGCCCAGAGAGGTCAGGTGACCTGTATCAGGTCACACTGCTGGGAAGAAATGGAGTTAGCTCTGAACACCCAAAAAGGCACAGTGGGTTTATTTTTATTTGGGTTTTTGTTTCTCTGTTGGGTCACAATCCACATGACACACATTTTCCTACTTTAGCCATTTTTCGGTGTATATAGTATACCGAGTACATTCAGGTGGTTGCACAACCATCCGTACTATTTCCAGAACTTCCTCATCATCCCAAACAGCAACTCTGGGTAGTCTTATCTTTTTTTTTTAATGTATTTTTAAATGTATAAAAATGGGTAAAATGTATTTTAAAAAAATCAGACTTTTTTATACCTTTATTTTATTTATTTTTATATGGTGCTGAGGATCGAACCCAGTGCCTCACACGTGCCAGGCAAGTGCTCTACCACTGAGCCCCAGCACCAGGCCCTTGGTAGTCTTCTCTTGTTGGTTATTGTTAGCAATAACCTCCAGGGACTGTGTGTTCAGCACCTACCACAGGGAGGTCCAAATTCTCCCGGAGGCTCCAGGTCAGGACCATCCTGTACAGTTGTTCAGGTTACAACCAAGGTTAGCTTCTCAGAATTGCCACTTACAAACAGAGCATGCCTGTCATCCCAGCAACCTGTGAGACTGAGGTGGGCAGATCCCAAGTTCAAGGCCAGCCTGGGCAACTTAGTAATACTGAGCCTGGTTGAAAATAAAAAGGGCTGGGGATGGAGTTCCATCGTAAGGTGCTCTGAGTTCAATCCCCAGAATGAAATTTTTTTTTCTTTTTACTTATTCATTATGCTGGGCAGAGTGGCACAGGCCTGTAGTCCCAGCTACTCAGGAGGCTGAGGCACAAGGGTCACTCAAGTCCAGGAGTTTAAGGTCAACCTGAGCAACATAGTGAGACCCCATCTTTAAAAAAAAAAAAAAATCCGTCTTAAAAAAAATAAAAGAAATCATTGTTGAACTGAAATTCACATGCAACTGGGTGTCTGGTACTTGATCTGCAACCCTAGACCAAGGCATCCCATGATCCCTGGCCAAACCGTGAGCCCTGGGGTGTGGCTGGGTGCTCTCTCCCCACCTCACGGCAGGTCTGTGCCTCCTGCGGCCCTCCAGGCCTGCTGGTCAGCAGCTGGACCTTCCTGCATGGGCCCTGCTCAGCCTTCGCAGGGACCTGGGGGGCAGGTGCTCATCACCCTCCCATTTTACACAAGGAAACACTGAGACCCAGAGAAGGGAACATCTCTGCCTGGTTGTGCAGTGAGGGAGACAGGCTTGGAGGCCCAGGGCTGTCAGCAGAGCCAGCCAAGAAGAAAGAGCTAGAATGTTCAGGATTCAAGGGATGGTAGGAGGTGAATGGGGAAGAAACACAGGTTGGGGACCTGGGACTGTACCACTGTCCAGCCATCCAGCTCTGGCCCTGGTGAGGCCCTGTAGCTCTCAGAGACAAAGTAAATAATCACAGCCACCGTCCATGAGCACCCACACTGCTGGTCTCTCCCTTAAGGGGGGTGGGAGGAGAGAGGCCAGCGTGGGCGGGCATGGCCTCTGATTGTCACTGTCACCTGGGCCGTTCTCTCTGAAGTCCCTGCCACGGCCTGTGGGGAGGTGGCTGTGGGAGGGCTCTGCTGATGCAGCCGGCCCCTCCCCAGATCTGGAGAGCTGAGCACAGAGGGGCTGAGAGACGGAACCCCCAGAAATGCCGCTCCTGGGAGACAGGGCCCGGGCCCTGCCCTCCCTCTGCTTCTGCCTGCTGGTCCTGGCCTGGGTTGCGGGTGAGGAGCAGGGTCTCATGTGGGCTAGTAGACCTGGGTGCGGCCCTTGGTGCCTGATGCTGTGTGTCAGTGCACGTGTGTGACTGGGGTTATACGTGTCAGGGGCTGGTGTGAAGTGTAAACGTGGGGTTGGTACAAATCACAGTGGTCATTTGCGTGTGACAAGCAGATGTGTGTGCAGTTGTGGCAAATGTGCATGCCAGAGAATGTGCTTGTGTGTATTGGGTATATGTGTGTGAAAGATTAAGCTGGGCACGATGGTGTATGTCTGGAATCTCAGTAGCCAGGGAGGCTGAGGCAGGAGGATTAAAGTTTGAAGCCATCCTCAGCAACTCAGTGAAGCCCTAAGCAACTCAATGAGACTGTGTCTCAAAATTAAAAATAAAAAGGGCTGGGGATGTGGCTCAGTGGTTAAGTGCCTCTTGGTTCACTCCCCAGGATCAAAAAAAAAAAAAAAAGAAACAGGAAATTGGAGTGCGAGGCCATGTGTGAGGGTTTCTGTGAGCGTGCGGGTGTTGGGCGTGTTTTGCACATGGATTTCTTTCACATGGATACAGTGCCTCTGTGTGTCCAAGGCACTGTCCTTTGTGCACTGTGTTAGCTCCGGTTGCCTCCAGAGGCAGGTGTATGAGTCCCCCATTCTACAGAAGGGAAAACTGAGTCTTAGAGCAGTTATGTCGTGGGCAGAAGCCATGCAGGTCACGTGGTGCCTCTGGACAAGTGTGTGTGGTGGGCCTGTGTCACAGGTGGGCTTGTGGGTGGGGTGTGCACATGTGTGTGGGTGCTGCACCCACAGGTGTGTGCAAGGAAGCAAACTGTGACCCATGGTGGGACATCTGGCCATGAGGAGGGGCTGACAGCATGGCCATGCCAACAGCCATCCTGTGCGTGTTCTCCCCCCACTGTGTGCTGTGGTGGTGGCTCGGACCCTGTGCAGGGGCCGAGGGGAACGCGGGGGCTGGGGCTGTCCCAGACAGCAGATCAGGTGGCTAGAGGAGGCCTGGCGAGGTGGAGACAGACAGAGGGGGAAGACCACATGGGGGGAGGGACAGCTCTGGGGTACAGGGAGAGGGGAGGACCAACGGTGGAAGGGGACAAGAGGTCAGAGGGCCTAGGAGGGAGCAGGAGGCAGCCCAGGCCCCCGGAGTGGCAGGGGGTGAGCTCGGGGAGAGACGGAGGAGTGGGGTTCTGGGGTCCCAGCAACTCGAGCTGCTCTCTGGTCCCCCCCAGCATGTGTGCCCACGGGGACCCCGAGCCTTGAGCCAGGCCCCGAGAAGAGCCGCTGGAGCCTGGTGCCGGGCAGGCTGAAGGAGCTGGTGGAGCCGCTGGTGACCAGGACCAGAGAGAGGTGGCAGTGGTTCTGGTGAGCCTGCGCCGGCATCAGGCTTGGGGGAGAGCAGGCTGGGCCCCGGGGCTGAGGGAGGAGGCTGGGGCCTAACCCTGGACTCTCGGTCTACGGGGAGCAGAGGGGCTGCCATGGGGGCTGAGGGCAGTGGAAGGTGAGAGGGCAGAGCGGGGACCCTGGGTCAGAGGGAGGGGAGGCAAGGGCAGGGCCTTCGGAGGGGCTTGGGGTCTCAACTGTGGTGTCCCCTTCCTGCAGGCGCCCTGGGGCCCTCCAGGGTTTCATGCAGACCTACTATGATGACCACCTGAAAGACCTGGGTCCCCGCACCCAGGCCTGGCTCCTCAGCTCCAAGGACAGCCTCCTGAACAAAGCCCAGAGCCTGTGTCCCCAGCTGCTCTGCAGGGAACAGACCCAGGATTAGCCTGCCCACACCTCCCCCAGCCCCAATAAAGACCTCCTTATCTGTGTCCCTGTCCAGTCCCCTCCTTTGTGAAGCTGGAGATAACCCTCCCCACCCGTGCCCAGGAATTATGAGTGGAAGAGGCCACATTTGGCAGGGGGAGACCCTGGGGGTGGGGGTGCTGGGGGAAGGGGCTGGGGGCGAACCGGGTTGGGGGACTTCAAGGCGCCTGCGTTTCTGGGGAGCAGGGAGGGTGAGCAGGTCCCCAAGGTGGGCCCTCAGAGCTCTGCCCTTGTTTCCCAGCAGACTCAGGCCCTAGGCCCCATTCCTGGTGGGTGCTCGGGACGCCCAGCCCCTCCGCAGCTCCCACCGCCCCCTCTGTCAGAGGGGAATTATCAGTTGGGGTTATCTGAGGTTTGACCTGGCAGTGGACAGACGTCACTGTCCTTCTTGCCCTTCCTGCCCCCCGCCCCGCCTCGGGGTGGCTCTGTTGGCCAGGACTTTGGCCCAGGCTGAGGAGGTGGCAGCCGTGGAGGGAGGTGGGCCTCCAGGGGTATAAAGCCTGGGTGCCTGTCGGGAGCTGATGAGGACAGAAGGCAGAGCCAGAGCCGGGTAAGAGAGGGCCTGTGGGGGCGGGTGGGGAGGGGAGGGGGCAACATGGTTAAATTGGAAATTGCTAGAGTGGCCATGATGCTCAGGATGGCACCACGGAATGCGGAATCCCCGTGTGTCTCCCCGCTGAGCCTCCTGGATCGATCTGGACCTGTCTTCTACTGTAGTTTCTTCAAAGTGAGAGGGTGACTTTGTGCAGTTAGTAGTTAGCCCAGAGCTCCTTCCAGTGTGGATTGGGACAAGGATTAGGGAGCCCCGTGGAGAGACATGTCCTCTGTGCCCTGCTGGGCGGGAGTTTTCTTGGGCTCCCAGCTGGACCTCAAGGAGGCTTCTCCAGGGAGTGAGTGGACTTGCCTGGAGTTGACAGGACAGGGCTGGGGTGCACTGTGGCAGAGGCTTGCCCACATGCACAGGGCCTGGGCTCCATCCCCAGCTCCACACACACAAATCCCACCAGGCGGAACTGTTAAAATCAGGGCAGTTAGAACAGAGGTCCAAAATAGACCCCTTGTCCTGTCAATGTGACCTCGAGTCAAGCAGGAGGAACCAGGAGCACAATTCCAGACCCCTGCCTCAGAGGGGGTGGGCCCCAGTGACCAGCCCAGTGACCCTGCTGCTCGACACCCCTCAGTCTTCCAGGTCCCTCGACGCCATGGGCACGCGATTCCTCCTGGCTCTGTGCCTGGTCCTCCTGGTGCTGAGCTGTGGTGAGTGGCCTGCAAGGGGCATCTCCGAGGAGGGGGAGCTGGGAGCATCTTCTCACCCAACCTGGGCCGCCTCCTCTCCTTTGCCGGTTGTTTCAGCCCCCCCAAGCCTTGCCCTCTCCGCCCCTGCAGAGATCCAGGGGCTCCCGCAAGATGAGCCTGCCAGCCCGCCTCTGCTGGCCCAGGTGAAGGAGTCGCTCTCCAGCTACTGGGGCACTGCCAAGGCAGCTGCCCAGGGCCTGTACGAGAAGACATACCTGAACGACATGGACGAGAAAATCAGGTGTCGTCTCCCCTGGGAGAGAAAGAGCTGGCCCCTGATATCAACCACGGCCAAAACCTGGGAGTCCAGGCCCAGCCTCCTCCCTCAGACCCGGGGGTCCAGGCCCAGCCTCCTCCCTCAGACCCGGGGGTCCAGGCCCAGCCTCTTCCCTCAGACCCAGGGGTCCAGGCCCAGCCTCCTCCCTCAGACCTGGGGGTCCAGGTCCAGCCCTGCTCCCTCAGACCCAGGGTCCAGCCCAGTCCTCCTCCCTCAGACCCAGTGTCCAGGCCCAGCCCTCCTGTCTCTGACCCCAGCCCTTTCTCCCCAGGGACTTGTACAGCAAGGGCTCAGCCGCCATGAGCACCTACGCGGGCATCTTCACTGACCAGCTCCTCACTCTGCTGAAGGGAGAGTAGTGTCAACCCGGGGTGTGGGTGGGGAGCCCAGGCTCCAGCATCCCCTGGTTCTCCTGACCTTCCTGGGAATCGGACGGGGCTCCCGCCACGCCAGCTGCTCTCAGCCCTCCCCTCCTCTGGCCTGAACTCTCACCAGTGAGTGAAAGAATAAATAATAAATATTTATTCTCTTTGATGTGGTGGCTTTTCTGGGGCTCAGGGACCAACATAGAGACACTGACTGAGTCCAAACAACATTTAGTCAGCAGGTATTGTCTGTGTGTGGCCATATCTGGAACCTGGTCCTGGGAATGAAGAGGAAAATAAAAACAAGAAGTGATCATAACAATGAGTCACTGCTCTTGACTAAGGTCTGATGTTCCCGAGTGTAAAATGACAAATCATGGATGAAGATAACCTGCAGTGACCTCTGACAGCACACAACCCCTGTGTTGACACTTTACTTTTTGTTTTCTTCACTTTTTTTTTTTTTTTGGTGGGGGTGTAAGGACTGAGCCCAGGGCCTCAGGCATGCCAGGCAGACGCTCCAGCATCGAGCTCCACCAGGCCCCTGAGATGACAGTTTAGCCATCTCAGGGAGTATCCGAGGCAGGAAGGTGGGCACCCACGAGTCCCTGCTAAGCTTATGAAGTTAGTTTCACAGTTTGGAGGGGACACAGGAAGTCAGACCTCTGAAGCCTGGATGCTTTGACAATCCAGCGCATTTACCTCACCTGATTTTCACCTCACCTGATTTCCTGGAGATCGGCACCAAGCCCTGAGGGCATAGAGGGAAATACAGATAGTCCTGCCCTCAAGGGGCTTCTCAAAAAGCCACCAAGGGTGCCCACCTGTAATCCCAGCAGAGTGGTAGGCTGAGGCAGGAGGATCAAGAGTTCTAAGCCAGCCTCAGCAATTTAGGGAGGCCCTTAGTAGTTTAGCGAGATCCTGTCTCTAAATAAAATACAAAAAAGGGCTAGGGATGTGGCTCAGTGGCTAAGCATCCCTGAGGTCAACCCCTGGTACCAAAAAAAGCCACTGATGGAGGCTGTAGCTCAGTGGTGGAATGCTTGCCTAACACATTTGAGGCCCTGGATTTGATCCCCAACACATTTAAAAAATAAAAATAAATAAGCCACGGATCAGGGACTGTTGCAGCTGCAGGCAGTTTGAGAGATTCTGGTTTTATAGTATGTTCTCTGGGCTGTTCTCTCCTTGTTAGTAATAACACTTCCTAAGCTCCTCAGAGCCAGGAGCTCCACTCCACCCTGAGGCTACAGCTAGACCCCTGCCTCAGGGAGCAAGAAGACAAGTGGAGATCATTTCAGACAGCAGCATGGACCCCGAGGAAGACTGAGTGGAAGAGACCCCCAGACCTTGGATGTGCTGCTCTAAGCAGGCAGAAGTAGGGCCCAGGCTCTATTGAAGACAGGACGACCAGGCTGGAGCTAGTCAAGGGGACACAGTGCAATGCATTCTGGGTAGGACTGTTGTTGCTGGAAAGTGGGGGAGAGGATTGGGTGCTGATTGGGCCCCCCGGGTCCAGGTGGGGTGGTTAGAGGATGGGAGGGAGCATCTAGCAGCAGGAAATTGCAGGCAAAAAGCACAGGATGAAGGACAAGGGTGGGGCTCCATGGGCTGAGGGAGGCCGGTGCTGGGCCCAAGGGTGGACGATGGGGCGCTGAGGGAGCAGAGGATGCTCCCATAAGTCTCAGGGGTGGGGCTGTGGGTTTCTGGGGATCCATGGCCTGGATTTCTCCTAATCTGCTTGGCATTACCCTCCAGCCATTCTTTCAACGATCTTGGGGCAGTTTTCCCAGGTTCTGAGGCTGGGCAGCTATGAGCCCAGTAGAAAACAGAGGCCTTGGGAGGGGCTGTGGGCAATGTCCCCAAGTCTGGGAAGAACTGAGGCTGCCAAGACCAGGGGGTGGTGGGGAGGGGGAAACCCTGGGGGGGGGAAACAATCCCTGCTCTGTCCACTTGTTTCCCACAGACTCGAGCCAAACCAAACCACTGTCCAAGCCAGTTTTGCTTCCAACCAATCCGGATGCCATTCCCAGACTCCTCCTGCCTTTCTCAGACCCCGACTCCCTTCAGGACCCCAGAAGACCAGGGCCCCAGAGTCCTCCTCCCCAAGAACTCAGCACATTGAAGGATAGACTCCTCCTTCCTCAGACTTAGAAGTCTGGACCCTGAATCCCTTCTCCTTAGAGCCTAGAAGTTCAGGTCCCCAGCCCCCTTCTCCCTTGAAACCTGAAATCATAAACTCTGGCCAGTGTTGGGCTCCCCCTAGTGGAGGGCAGAGACGGCCCATTCTGAGAACACTTAACTGAATGGGATTTATTTGATTACTCAACAGAACAGGGAGCTGGGCTCCCAAGGGCTCTGGCTCTGAAGGGCCCTCATGCTCTATCGGATCAGGACCTGCAGTGTATGAGACTTGGAGGACATATTGTGGCATTTTGTAACTAGAGCTGGGAGCTACCTCCTTAATCCTTTTGAAATTATTATGAGTATTATTACTATCATTATTTTTTTGGTGCCAGGATTGAATTCAGAGGTGCTTAACTACTGAGCTACATCCCTAGTCTTCTTTTTTATTAAGACAGGGTCTCACTAGGTTGCTTACAGCCTCCCTAAATTGCTGAGGCTGGCTTTGAACTTGCAATCCTCCTGCCTCAGATTCCTGATTATAGGCATAAGCCAGCACACCCAGCACTTTTTGAAATTTTGAGAGAGGGTCTCTCTACATTGCTGAGGTTGGCCTCAAACTTGTGATACTCCTGCCTCCACCTTCTGCTTCGCTAGGATTACAAGCATGGGCCACCACACCCACTGAAGCAAGGAGCTACAGGTTTCATTCTCTTCCTTGCATAGGTCCTCAAATCACCTTGTGCGTTCAGAGAGCCTCGTCCAATCATCCCCAAGGCAGTGCTGGAGTTTCAGGAGCGGCCACCAGGGTCCTGGATCTGCCTGCTCAATGAGGGGGACACACCCATTCCTGGCAGTGATTACAAAAAGTGAACAGGGGTGGGGAAGCTGAGGGGACCAGAAAGGCTGGGGAGAGGGTGCCTGGCCCTGTAGAGAAGAGAAGCTTCTATTATGACCTCTAGTTTAAACTAGTTATGGTGGTGCATATTTGTAATCCTAGCAATTCAGTAGGCTGAGGCAGGAGGATCTTAAGTTGAAGGCCAGCCTCAGCAGCTTACACAGGCCCCATCTCAAAAACAACAAAAGCACCTAGTTTATAGGGGGTAAGATACCGAGGCTCAAATACGTGTCACTTTTCTGGGATCATTTAGTCGGTTGGTAGCACGACCCGGGTGGATGCAGGTGAGAGGTCCCCCCAACGCACTGGTGGAGGTTCAACAGTCTGAGAGGTCTATGTCCTCCCTAGGCCTCCATGACGCCCTTTCTGAGGTCACCCTCAGCACGTGCCCACCTTGGCGCTGTAGGAAGACACACGGTTAATGAAACATGATGGCGTTCTCAAAGCCCACGAAGCTGAGTTCAGGATGGCGAGGTCTGCCAGACAGCGAAGGCCACTAGGGGAACGAACATGCGCACTAAAAGTACGGCTGCCCAAAGCCCAGGGAGGGGCTGACAGGGTCCCATTCCGAGGTTTTTGTGGCCGTAAGAATCCTGAAATAGGAACTCTGAACGCACGGAGAGACTATAATCTCTGGGGACTTGAAGGGGGAAAGGTGTCAGGAGGCGAGAACACCCATGGAAGGGCCTTCTCCTTTGAGTCCCACTACGGTGGCCACAGAGGTTCCTTTAAAGCAGGAGGGGCGTGGTTCGGGCGGGATGTTTTGAAATGTTACGGTGGCCGGAAAAGTTCAAGAACCTTGGAATGAAAAACAGAAACGCGGACCGAAGCGGGCAGGAGGGCGTGGAAAGCTTATACAAATCGAAAAGGCGGGTTAACTCGAGAGACAGAATGAACAGAATTTGTGGAAAGTGAACACGTTGTTCCAAAAGTCCTGGAACTTCTGTGCATTCAGTGTTTATTCCAGGTGAAAACAAACAAGCTGCAGGGCAGAGTGGGGAGAGGCGAAGTACGGTGGCTAATTTGGTCCTTTCATAGCCGGAAATGGAACTTTGGGAAGGCGTGTCTGCGGCGCTCTTGGCGGATACGGTGGCCCATTGGGTCGGGCAAATTGTGAAATCTCGCGCGATTAAGCTGGTGCCGTCGGGGACGGGGCGGGGCTGGCGGCGGGGGCGGGGACCCGGAGCGGGAAGATGGCGGCGGCGCAGGAGGCGGACGGGGCCGGCAGCGCCGTAGTGGCGGCCGGGGGAGGCGGCTCCGGTCAGGTACGGAGGCCGAGAGGGGCCTGAGGGGGCTCTTCCCCAGCCGGGGGGCCTCCCACGGGGCGTGTCCTGCCTCTCTTCGCAGAATCTGGTGCATTGGGGGCTCCTTGGCTAGAGGGACCTTGAATATCGGGCCCAGGCGGGGCCGGGCCGCCCGGGAGGCCGGACAGTGGCGGGAACGGGGCCCTGTTGCGCGCCCGGTCCCCTGCACGCTCGTGCCGGACTCCCACTAGACTCTTCATTCCGCCCGGGGAGATCGTGGCGCGGTGGGGCGCAGGCTTGTTCCCAGGAGCCCTAGGTTCTTGACTCTGCGATTCCAGGCTCCAAGACCATTCCTAGAGTGGTCTGACGTCCTGGGTCTCGCCCGCAGTGCCTGACATGTGGGCAGTGGGTAATTGGAAGTTTTCTAGCTCTGGGGAAATCAGGTGATTATTGTGGGTAAGGGCACAGGCTGTGGAAGCCAGTAGACCCATTTTACAGAAGGAATCCGAGAAACAGCGAGACTAAGTCGCTTGGAGAAGGTCACCCAGGTTAAGTTTGGCATCCATTCCATGTAGAACCTGATCCAGGGTGTCTGGACTGGCATGGGGATGCTTTTAGCATAAACTGACCCTGTGGGGGAATGGGTCCAAGTACAGACGACTGCTGACCCATTGTTGCCTAAACTAAACTGAGGCTGTAGAGCATACCAGGTAGGCAGCCACCATTCAGGCATCTGGGGAATGGATGGAGTGACAGCAAGGTGCTGTCGACCCACCCACTGGATGTCACTGACATGTGGGAGGCAGCTCAGGGGAGAGAAGTGCAGGTTGGGAGGGGAGAATGAGGCTGACTGTCTCTGTGACCTTGGGCAAGTTCCTTTCTTTCTTTGGGCCTTCGTTTCTCCAGTGATTAGTGGAGGTCGTGGACCGGAGGGCTAGTCCTGTGATGGGCCACAAAGATGACTCCAGCCATGTTCCTGCTGTCTGGGGAGTGGGAGAGGAGACTGCCATAAACAAAGAGTTATGATCTTGGATGACTTGGGTGGTGAC